TACTTGCATGAAGGGGCACCATTAGCAAATGGCTGTATTTGTAAACTCTGCAATGTATGAGAAAGAGGAAGAAAGAGGATGGGAGAGGGTAAGAGAAAGAGAAAGAAAAGAGATAGAGAGATCACTGGTGCTGGATCCAGCCAGCGGGGGGCCTTTGATGCCCTGAAGTCCCACACAGTGTAGCTCGCTGTCCTTTTTTACATTGGTTGCTTCGGGCACCCCCCCTCCATGCTTAAACAGGGCGCGGAGTGGCAGCCAATTTATGTGTAAATGAGGAGTATCGGAGTAACAGAGATAACAAAAACTGTGGGTCTAGCATAAGGGCGGAACAGGACCGTAGTCACTTTAGCATCACTCTATCTTTAATCTGGTTGATTGCAGCAATAGGGATCTTCCAACTCCTCGGGCACACCATCTACACATCTCATGGCGTGTCTCATCGTGTGGCTCCAGTTGCTTCACTTAATTTCACTTTATTTCATTTGAAACCTTTAACCTACTAGATTATCAGTGGTTTTGCATTTCTCCAGCCTTAACCCCATGAGGATAGACAGTGAAATTCAAAATTACTAAAATCTGTTGCTATCAACTTTAAATATATTTTGAAAAAAAACTGCTGTAGAAAATAATTATATCTTGGAGACCTTTCTTGCCTATTTCTTTCTTGCAGATGCAGCTGTGCTTAGGTAAAGGGACTGAACAACCAAGCTTTCAATCTACAGCACTGGTGATGCAAGAAAGCTTCCACTGGACTAGATGAGAAGTAAAGTCTCATGTACATTTAGATGTTCGATCACTGCTATATGGTTATGTTTCTGTTTTCAAAAAAAGGTTTCAGGTTTGGTTTTTTTTGGGGTTTTTTTTTGTTGTTTTTTTTTTTTTAATGCCTGATTGGTCAAACTGATCAAGGACGCTCACTTTACTGAAGATCACAGAGGAAAACAATAGGGCAGACCATTAAAAAAAAAATAAATTGATGAAATAAACAAAGCTGGAGAGAAAATGGGACAGGAATCTCTTTCCTCCCCTTATCTCTTCCAGTTGCCAGGGGCACCATTTGTAAAACAGACATGTAAAATACTAACGGTATGATGACTGCTATTAGAAAATAATTGCCTTGAACAACAGAAATAATAACTTGCAGAAGGTCACAGTACTCAGTGAATACCATTAATCTAACCCTGTGATTCTGCACTTAGAGGTGAAAAATTTTGTTCCTGCAACTTTTCATAGGACAAAAATCCTAAAATGCCAGACTCCAACAGAACTCATGATGACTCTGAGCTAACATCAGTCAAGTGAACAAAAGTTTCAGATCCTGCCTGTTGCTAAACAAAAAATAAGAAAAGCAAATGAAGTGTGAAAGAAATCTTCAGCAATACAAGGACCATGATAAAAACTTACTGTGCAGAAAATGTGGAAAATACCTGTAATTGAGAATAGCCCCTAGATCACACAGAGTAATTTCTTAGCACATAGTCAGGCAAAGCAGAGGCTCTACAGAGATCAAACTAAACCCACGATCTGAGATAGGTATTTTTCACCATACGATTTTCAGAAGAAAACACATCCTAATTGTGTATGTATGACTGTGGCTAAACTACAGGACATTCTCACCATGCTGAAAGAAACTTAATATTTTGTTTCCTTTTTGAATGCTTAAGTTTGGACAGTCATATGACCAAGACCTTTTATTTACTTCAGGAAAAACACAGATGGTCAGTGGCCAACCAGGAGGGTCATAAGGGAATCTGTGAGATGTACTGTTTACCACAGAAACAAGAGAGTATTGACACCCTGTAAGTTCTGTCTTGCAAGAGAATTTACCAACCTGACCAGTAAATAAAGTTCATAAATCAACAAATCAGAACCAAGGTCAAGTAAATGAAGATGAAACAGCTGGGGTCCATTGGTTCTCTTCATTATTCATAGTAAGGTGTATATCTTTTGACTTCCTTTAACTTATTATGTTAGCCCATAATGGAAACATTTCATACAAGCTAACACTCATTTTTAAATATTTTTCATAGAAAGGACTAGAAAACCCAATAAAAATTTGCTGTACCTTTAAGTCACTAACCTTCATGTCACCCTGTTTTAATTTGCAAAAAAGGTGTGTGGGAATAACTTTTGGAAGCAGAGCCAATGTTCAGCCAGTTACACTTGAATTACCAGATGTACAACAATCCTCAATAGGACCAATTGGCACATGCATTTCTGCGAAAGTGCCTTACCAACAGCAGTTCATTTTCACACCACCTCTGTGAGTGGGTGGGTTATCACTCCCAGAGCCCATATGTGGAAAAACAGTGGCACTATGGAGATGAGTGCCAAAGGCTGGGATTACACTTAAAACCTTCAGACCTCTTCTGTCTGCGTTTTATTACTAACAGGGAAGGAAGGCGAAGAGGCATAAAGCTGGGAGACTGGAAATACCAAAGGATATCATTGCTGAAACTGCAAGTCTCCATGGAGCTGCAGTAGGTGGACATATGACAGCCAAGTCAAACTGGCACCAGGGAGAGGTTCAGTGGTCTCTTAAGGCAGGTGCAGTTGATGACTGCCAGGTGAGAACAGCTAAGGCAGTAAACTGCTGCTGCTCTAGGAACTCGTGACTATAAATCCATTATCACTGTGTGAATGAAACAGAATTATACCTTGCTCTTGAAACTTCCAGTAAGTTAAATTATAGAAAACTTCCTGGTGTAAACTTACCACCAGCGCATAGATGCATCAGTACAGGAGCAATATCAATACATATTTGGTTACATAAAAACCCCCAGCTTGCTAACAATGGCTAGAGAAGTACTCGAGCTGTTACAGTTTCTACACAAGTTTTAAGTTACTTTCTGAACACCTAGCTATTTTAGAGGAATACAAAGAAAACTTCTGCTACACTCTTGAGATGAATTAGTGGCAACAGCAAAAATCGTAACTCTATGGTGTATCTCTCTTACAACAAGTTTTACACTGAATGTAAAACCACCTATCATCCCCTCAACACTTTCTGTTAATACTAAATCACACATATCTTTTTACCAATTCTTTTACCTGTTATTTTTCTGGGTGCAAGGTTTTTAACTACCATGCTTACCTATGAAGGATTTCAAAGAGCTGATAAGCTTGAGCAAAAGGTTAAAAAATCTCTTTTTGCTCAAAGCCACAGGCAAAAGGAGAAGATGGGTACTGGGCATGATTTAGCCAGGTTAAGCAGCAGGCTCAGTACAGGACAGTAGGTAAGTGAATGAACCGTGTGATTTCTAATTTTTGTGTGGCTTTAGAAGTGATCAAAAACAGGTTTAGCCAAACCTGAAATGACATTTGAATAATCAGCCTGAGACAACTGACAGATTTGAACCCCGAGGCAATTTTCCCCAGCTTCTGGTAAAGCCAGTCAGTCAAAACTGTCTGAAACCACGCACTTGGTGCTGTGGGGCAGTCATGCATTCCCAGTGTGGTGCTGGCTGAGGTAATTAGGTTAATTGCACAACCATGTGAGTACTGCCCTGTTGCTCTGAGCTCTGAATTATATGGAGGAGAACTGAAGAAGCCATGAGAGAAACAGGAACTGGTCATTCCTGACCTGAAAAGACCTTTTGGGATTATTCTGTTTAAAGAAAAAAAAAAAAAAAAGGGGGGGGGGGGGGGGAGAAGAAAAATAAGCCTAGTTCCTTAGCTGAAAAGTTTCCATCCAGAACACAGTAAAGGGATGTAATTTTTTTCATGCAAATTCTCATTGCTGCTATCAAGCACACTAAGTGCTTAGTCCCATTTATCTTCAAATCAACAGAAAAATGAAAAACATTACCATTTGTGCTGGTTCACAGCCAAGCTTTAGCATCTATCACAGTTTTAGCATTGCAACACCACTGGCAGAGGTTGTATTTCTGAGAACAATAAGTGGGGGAATGGCAAAGAAAGCAGTCAAAAGCAAACTTCACTGATTAACAATTCAAATGTTGAAAGCCAGCCACATACAAGGATGTCATTTTTACTGAGTGTATTGTTTTGTTCTTATGACAGATCTTCACTCACTTGAATGGAAATAGACGTACTCTACATCTAGTACTACTGAACTGTCAGCTGTGTTCAGGAGATATTTATAACCATTAATGCTGCAGATGGAAGGTGAGTTTTAATGTATCATAGTTACTCCTCTGGCTGGAGAGCAGCTCCCTGTCTGACAGCTGGAATTGAATTGCAGAAAGCTCAGTATATCTCTCTATCATTTTCATCCTTTTCCTTTACATGTAACCATCCCTTCCAAGCTTGCTTCTGTTTTCTGGCTTGCCTCATTGCTCCTGCCTCGTCCACAAGCCAAGTTAGTGTGGAGCTGCCCTTCCCAGGGCTCACCCCACTGCCTGCTTGGACTGGAGATCAGAGGGACCCCTCAGAGCTCCCCTGCGGGAGCTGCCAGGGGGCTCGAATCTCACATGGGACCAAAATACACCGCCAGGCACTTGGCCTCCGGCCCCGTTCTCGTTGCAGCCGGCAGACCCCTGGGGCCCCAAACCACAGCCCCCTGCGCCTGCCCATCTCCATTGCAGCCGGGAGCTAGGGGTGGGAGGGGTTGGGGGGGTGGGGGGGGGGTTGGGGGGGTTGGGGGAGTTGGGAGGGGGGGGGAGTTGGGGGGGCGGGCTGTAAGGGTCACTTTTCTTTCTGCAAGAGGGCGCCAGGCGGGGCGAGGGGCTCTACTCCACTCCGTACGTTGTGACAAACCACGACCCCTCAAGCACCGCTGCCTCCCCTGTCCTTCATCAGCACGCCCCGTGCAGTCCGGGGGACACACCGAGCCGTGCCACTGCACAGCGCTCCGCAACAAGGCCGGGGGACCCCTGCCTGTGCCCGGCGAAGCTTCCAAGAGAGCCCTTGGCCGCGCACAAAGAGAGCGAGCCAGACACGGGAGTATCGCCCGCCGCCGCGGCGGGCAGCGCTGGATGCACACACACGCACCCCCGCACACGCATCCACGCACACGGTGCGGCCGGGCGGTCACGTACCTGCAGGTGCCTGTCCGTGGGAGCGCGGGGCGGGGAGCCGTGCTATATTGCCCGTACTGCATGGGGGGGATCAGGGCGATACGCTCGGGGGCTGGGGGCTGCTCTGCTCCCTCCGCCCTCTTCCTCCTCCTCCTCCCCGCGGTGTGTGTGGGGGTGTGTGGTACTCCGCGCCGGAGGAGGCAGCGGCGGGCTGCGACTCCTGTCAGCCACCGGAAACCGGCGCCCTGTCCCCCGCACCGCAGGAAGTGTGCAATGGCACACCCGCACACCGGCCTGGACTGGCAGCGCACCGCCGGCTGTGTGCCATTGCACACCGCACAGCAGCTCACACACCCCGCACCGCACCGCAGGCTGTGTGCCCTGGCACACTGCACACCGCACAGCACCGCAGGCTGTGTGACCTGGAACACCGCACATGCACCGCGTCTGGTGCACAGCACAGTACCTTGAGGGACACCCAAGGGACACCTGTCCCTCCCGGGCGGCTGAACGGGGCGGAGAGGGGGTCACCGTGCCCCTCTGCGGGGAAACAGGCAACGGGGAGCTGCATTCCCTGCAGTACCGTGGGCAGGAGTGAAAACAAAGAAATGCATGCGTGTGAAACGGGGATGCATGGCCAAGGAACACGTTCTCAGCTGAAATAATGTAATTTTCATTATTCTGGTGGAGGTCTCCTGACTTGCAGCACCTCACCCACTCAAAGTGGGTATGTCCAGACAGCTGCTACTCTTTTGTTTTTTGCAGATACAGAAACGTGCTACTTACTGTTACTTTTTTTTTAATGGTATCTGCCACGACATGTTAATTTTAAGTGGACTATATACATATGTATTCTCTCTGCGCACACACTGTGCCTGTGTGTAAGACAATAGAAACTGCAATTTATATGTTGTGAAAACTTTCTTAATTTGCTTGCAGCTAAAGACCCAATCAGCAACATTGCTTATATTGGGATTTTTTCTGCAATTAATCACAGAAGGGCTCACTATGTGCTTGCAGCATTTTCTCTAGGTATTGGCTCTCCCACAGTAAGCAAGGCACATGCCAAAGCAAACTTTGCTCCTCTCCTCAGTTGGGCTTTTTTAACCCTGCATCACTCCAGAAAGCGACAGGCCTGGCTATCAGCCTTTTAAGCTGGCTACTTCATGGCCCAGAGGTTTCCTTTCCTCATCTTCCTTATGCCAACATTTGCAAAACTTGCATGGCTAACACATGCTACTAGCTATGATGGCAACAATGATTACACAAGAGTATAATGGAGCCAATCTGGAAGCGTATTCATGCCAAAAGTAATGCTCTTTCTGGATTTGTCTGTGACGTGGTAGGGGAATTTGGTAGCAGCATTAGCCTTTGGTAGGGAAGATTGCCATCCTATCTGCTATTGTTATTTTCAGTAGGGTGTCATGGTCATGGTTCTGCAACCAGCAGAGGTACATAATACTCAAGTAATCAAGATTTCAGTAGCAGACTCCTAAAGATGAAGAACCCTAACAGTAGGAGTAATTATTCCAGCGAGTGAAGGGAGACTCCTGACTCCATCCATCACGATCAAATACATGACACCCTGCTTTCACATCTTGCTTTTAAGGCAGGGACCTGTAGTCAAAGCAATGGCAACAATAAGAAAAAGACCACAACCTTTCTGGACTCTGCTGTGCCCACAAAATCATTCCAGGGACAGGAATGGTCTAATTTTCAGGAATATGTCCCCAGAGTACCATACAGGCCATCAAACAAACCTCATGGTTTAGAGGCAGTATGGGTTATATCAGATGAAGCCAGTGACCTGTTTGCCTCTGAGGTGGGGCTGCTGAGCTGTCTTTTCAATACCAAATAGCTACACTTTCACAAACAACAATAAGGAATTCCTCAAGAGGAGGACTGCCTTCCAAATAAACGCTCCTCATCTCTGGGAGCCCTGTAATCAAGCATTTCATCTGTAGTCAGGAAACACAAGGGGCTTGCTCTTCACTGTTGGTCTTCAGTTTTGATCACTCCTTTGCATTCTTTTTCTTTGTTCTTCTCTACTTCTCTCATGCTCTTCAGTGGCCACAGGACAAAGTAGCCTCCAAGCCTCCCTTCTACCTTCTCCCCCACCACTTTCTTCTCCTTCTTCACTTCTTCCTTGTTAGGAACAGTCACAGGTCACATCATATGCTCTGTTGAATAGTTCAGCTAAGCCTAGAACAGTGTCAACAGCATTTCAGCACAGAATTGCAGTTCCGGATGAGCTCATTTTAGCTCACTGCCTGAGTAATTGCACTGAGAAGGCAGCAAGTGTGTGATGTTCCCAAGCAAGAAAACAAGGTTTTCTCCAGGAAGGAAAGCTGCTGGTATTGACCCAACAGGACCGTGCTGGCTGCTTGTCATGGTTTGATGCTGGCACAATGCCAGCGCCCCATGAAAATGCAACCTACCAATCAACTGCTGTGAAATGCGATTGAGAACAGAGCAAAGCAGGCCAAACTTAATAACAAAGGAAAGACTTTATTACACTACTACTAATAACATAAAGGGGAAGAAAAAGGGGGAAAAAAAAACCAAACACAAACTTTAAAATTAAAACCTTCTAAAACATTCCTCCTCCCACCACCCAACTCCAACATACTACAGCGAGACCCATTTAGATCTTTAATCCAGTTTTCACCCTTCAATATAATCAATACTGAATCTATCGGGGAAGAGAGGAGTCCCCCTTGCACCACAGACCCCCAGGAAACACAGCTGCTACCTCTTGTGTTTCCAATGTCACACGTGGCACTGCCCAGACACACCAGCCAGTGTGACACTCTCCTCTCCATGTCACAGTGCTCTCACCACCGTGCATGGACAGAGACTGCTTATAGGGCCCCTTTAAGGATGTTCAGCTAAGGACTACCAGGAATAACAGTCTAGTATCGCATTTCGGGACTAGAGTCCTCCCCATTTTCCCCTGGGGCTGAGGGTCTAAGGATAGAGATCTCCTTCTCTTTTTCTCTGAAGATGGAGGGCATCTTCACACCCTCCTCAGCTCTCTCTGTCCATTCCTGAACAGGTAGTTGCTGAAGGAGGTTTCTTGGCTCACCAGTGCATCCCCTTAAAATGTAGTCTTTCTTGAAAGAAAGAGTCGTTCAGTCTATGGTAAACAAGCAGAGTCCAGCCAAAAGCCACTCTATTATTTCTTTCTAACTTTCTTCTCTGAACATCTGAGGTCTCAGGCTGTCTCTCTTTTCTTCAAATTCAGGAGGAGCAATATTTCATAAAGCCTTCATTTCACAGGAAAGGGTTAAAATTCCCGGACTCCCCGGACGGCTGCAATCTCAGCCCAGGATTCTGTCTCCAGTCTCCCACGCTGGGCATCTTCCCCCCACCTTCTCCTTCTCCTCCGCCGGCAAACTCCCAGGTGTCTGCTGGCTCTCTATCTCTTTTCCCTCTGGCTTAGGGGAGGGGGAACAAAAACATCCCAGATGTTCTCCACCCTTCCATCCGCAGGAGCTGGCCCAGCTCGGTTCCGATCCTTCACCCCCTGGCCTACCTCTGCAGGCCGCATGGCTCCCCTCCCCCACCCAGCCCGGGCTGGGCAGGGGAGGTCCGTATCATGCGATGACCGGAACCAAAGAAGGACGAGTCCTCCTGGGAATTCCGCCTTTAACCCCTCTGTGTTCTCAGAAGCGTGTCCACTTTCAATTGGTCACCCCAAGTGTCAGTATCCAAAGCTGACCCTTGACTGGATTGACCTCTTCCTTCTAAAAAAATTTCTCTTCCCGTGTCAAACCATGACACTGCTGCAGGGTGGACAGAGAGACTGTCCTTCCTCTGCAAAGTTAAGAGACTGTGGTGAGGAGTTATTGCTGGCCATTTCTCCTCCTATTTGTCACTTGGAATAAAACACAACCAGGCAGACATCTGACTTGGTTGGTGTGGACACCTGTGGGAGGTGCTGAGCATATCTCCACAGATGGTCCACTTGTCCAGGTAAGACAGTAGGGTCCTGTCATTATTGCAGTGGGCTGAGAAAGAAGTGTATCACATCCTCATCCCAGAACTATTTTATTCTGTGACCTCTGACAACTCACTAACCCTGTGACCCTTCATCAGCCATAGCAGTCTGTGCGGCAAGGGTGAATTGTCTCACTCCAGGTGCCAGTGCCAGGAAAGCTAGGGCTTATGGTGCTCAGTTGGAGCTCATGCTCTCCCCTCTAGTTCTCCCAAGCAGCCTGCCATCCCATTAACACTCATGCCACCAGCAGACCAAAAACAATAGGCAAAAGCAAAAGCATCCCAGGTCCCACAAGAACTGATCCTTCTGCAGAGAAATACTGTCTGTGAAATAGGGTGTACAAGCTGCCAAAGAGGAGGGAAAGGAATCACTGTTCTCCTGTTTGGGAACACCTGACTGTCTTGAAGAAAGGCCCAAAGGTGCTGGCAAGTGACAGCGACATCACAGCAGAGATGATACCACCTCACAAAAAACGTGCAGACACCAAGTGACCACATGGCTTTGCTGTGAACTGCTCAGCTTCTCCAGCATCCCTCCAGCACCATGTTGGTCAAGCAGGAACAAAGCAAAGCTTGGCTTTTCCCAGGGATGTCCTCCACAAGATAAGATGTGCACTGACTCGGTCTGGACTGGTTCCCCTTTAGTTCAGGTGAGCTGGATTCTGCTGAGTGGCTTGTTTCTGCTGTCCAGCTCTGCCTTTTGTTTGATTCAGGCAGCAAGGAAGCTGAGTCACACCCCCGCAGTCTGTGCCCTGGCCACGCTTGCTCTCTCCTGCCCAGCTGAGTAGGGTGTGCCAGCACCCACACAGACTCTCACTTAGCACCCGCCACCAGTCATGATCCTGACTTGGTGCCAGAAGCTTTGCCAGCTGAAAGTCAAAGGTGAAACACCACTCCATATAAAACCCCCCAGCCCTCACAGCAGGAGGAAAGCTGCTGGCCTGGGAGGTGATGAACAGGCTAGGAGGAAGACAGATGCAATCAGAAAATACTTCTGATTTTAGCACAAAGCTGGCCGTTCACTAAGGACCTACCACTAGAGTAGCTGGGATGAGAATGAAAAATGAGAAAGGCTAAGAATGGTCTGTTTCACCAGACCATTCTGTAGGTTTGAAATCAGCACTGACTGTGTCACAGGAAGAAGGGCAGGATCAGGCCACTGCCATGAGAGGCTTTTTTTGCAGCAGTTCCCCACAGACTACTATTAGCTGTCTGCTCCAAGGGCTGTTCATCATGGCTGGAACCAGCCAAATGCAGATCATAAACTA